AAGATGCTGAATGGCGTGGTAATGGTGTGCACCTTATATTCTGAGGACACAGCAAGGCAGCAAAGATTTCTACATAGGATGATTACATCATCAGATTCATGTTAAGACTCTGGCAGCAATCTGCAAGGTGCACCGGAGTAAGAGGGCAGATGTGAGTCAAGATCGATTAAGAAGCTATTACTAGAAAGATAATAAAGGTTTGAATTAAAACAGCAAAAAGGAAAAGAAGACAAATTTGAGCTACTTCAGATGATGATTCAATACTGATCTCAGGTGGCCTTGGCCTGCAGCAGCTTGAAGTAGGATTTCGGTTCCCAGCCAGAGACTGAAGTCAGGCCGCGGCAGTGAGTGCTGAATCCTACCCACTATACCAGTGGTCAGTGACAAGGCCCTGGCCTTTCGGCTTTGTAGAAATGAATTCCCACAAAGACACGGAAAGTAGTGAAACAAGCAAAGTGTTTACTAGGAGGAAAAAGAGTACTTGTGGATAGACACATGGGCGGGCTCAGAGGGAGTTGCACCTCTTGGTAGTTTGAATCACTTTTATGGGGCATTTCTTCTGGGTTTTCTTTGACCAATCATCTTCCTTTGCCTGGTTTTGAGTCCGTATTTGGTATATCTCAGGGTCCTCCCACGTGCGTGCGTGCGTGCGTGTGTGCGTGCATCTCTTAGCCAAGATGGATTCTAGCAAAGAGGCCTATGTGTAGGTTGGCATCACTTACTATGGGGTGGTGCCCCCTCCCTTACTGACCTCCAAGGAGACTTTCTGCGCCTGTGTAGTCAGGAAGGTCTCCTTGACTTGGAGAATGAGGAATATGTGGTCTTTTATCTCTTATCTGGGCAGGGCTCAGCTTCTCCTCCCTCCTGCTATTTTGGAGTATCTGTCACAGGGGACAAACTCTGGCTGCTCAGCCTGGGGCCCATCTATCTCCTGCCTCAATACGATCAAAGTTTTTAAATGACCAATTTTTCCCAGTCCCTTCCACTGGCCCTAAAATTTCTACTTAGCCATGATGTGCGAGGTTAAAAAAGCAAGTTAATAAGTAATTATTCTAATAATTCCATAATATAACAATTATTAATAAGATTAAAAATGAAGGAAGGTAGTCAAGTCGGATTTGGCTGTGTGAATGTTGAAGAATTGGTAAACTGTCCAGGATACATGTCCTCACAGGTTGGAAATTAAGATTTGGGGCTTGGTAGATATAATAAGAAAGACATATTTGGTCCTCATCCCCAGTTCCTCACACAGAGCTCCTAAACCCCCTGGAATTTCCTGAGTGGTGGGGTGAAAGGAGTGTCTTTTGTTATTCATAATAAGCCCCTGTCAACTACACCTGAGTATATGCTAATGGAGTGACTCTTGGAAGGGCTGTTTGCCAGAGAAAATAACGACATGATTAGAGGACTGGAATTTTCAGCTTCACCCAGCGACCTCCAGGGAGAGGAGAGGGACTAGGGATTCAGTTAATCGTCAGTGGTCGATGATTTAATCAATCATGCTTTTGTAATGGAACCTCCATAAAAACCCTAAATGATGGGTTCAGAAAGCTACCAGTAGGGTGGCACAACCCAAACTCTATGGGAACAGAAGCTCCCACACCTTGAGACCCTTCCTGACCTCACCCTATATACATCTTCATCTGGCTGTTCATTTGTATCCTTTATAATAAATCAGTAATAGTAAGTCAAGTATTTCCTTGAGTTCTGTGAGCCGTTAGAGCAAATTATCACACCTGTGCAGGAGGGACTGTGGGAACCTCCAATTTATAGCCAAGTCAGACAGAAGTGTGGGTAAGCTGGGAACCCACTACTTAAAATTGTTGTCTCGGGGGCTTCCCTGGTGGCGCAGTGATTGAGAGTCAGCCTGCCGATGCAGGCGACACGGGTTCGTGCCCCAGTCCGGGAGGATCCCACGTGCTGCGGAGCGGCTAGGCCCGTGAGCCATGGCCGCTGAGCCTGCGCGTCCGGAGCCTGTGCTCCGCAACGGGAGAGGCCACAACAGTGAGAGGCTCGCGTACCGAAAAAAAAGAAAAAAAAAATTGTTGTCTCAAGTTGGGGGCAGTATTATGGGACTCAACCTTTAACCTGTGGGGTCTGTGCTGACTGGGTAGTTAGTGTCAGAACTGAATTAAACTGTAGGACACCTAGTTTGTGTCCCCAGAGAACTGGAGAATTGCTGGGTAATGAAAACCCACACATTTGGTGTCAGAAGTGTCATGAATAGAGAAATGGTTTTCCTTTAGTAAACAAGTCAGGAATGAAAATACAAATTGGGGGATCATTTATGTATGAGTAGAAGAGTGAAATCACTCCCCCAACAGAGGGAATACATATGGAGAGTGTTGAAGATGAGCTCAGCAGACGCCTGAAGGAAGTAAGTAGGTGGTAAAGAGGAGCTAGCTAGGCAACGCGTGGCTGGAGTAGTAGAGAAAAATAGTGCCCTAGAAACTAAAAAAAAAAAAAAAAAAAAAAGGATAGGCTGTCAACAGTGACAAAGTGCTTGAGTTCAGGAAGGATAAGGATTGAGAAGCAGTCACTGGATTTGGCAATTACAAGGTTACTATCTTCTACGGTTCAACTTCACTGGAATGGTAAGAGGAAACTGGATTAATAAATAAGAAGAGAGTATACTGAAAAATTTTAAAGCTATCACTTACTTTTACATTAAAGTATGATTTGGGGGAATTATGGAAGTGTGGAGATAAGGATACATACTTCCTTTTTTTTTTCTGTTCTAAGTTCTTTTACTCAATATGCAAGTGTTATTACCTGCAGCAGTATAATCCCAGTCACAAAAAGATGATATAAAATAATGAATTTTTAAAAGCAATACAAATCCAGAAAAAGTAAGCAAACTGGACTGTACCTCCTGAAAAATCTTTTTTAAATAAAAGTATATGTTGGCATTTGGGAGGCCTAGAGGTAATACTGGGTAGTATATATATTAGTCATTTCCCACCATGTTACCTAACAAGATTAAAAGAAATGAACTTCTCATTAGATGTTGCCAAATAGAAACCCAATGAAGATTCAATAAGTTCACTGTTCGATTAAAAATTCAATTAAAACATCAATCTCCTTCTAGTAACAATTAATAAAACAACAAAAGAATATAGGTAAATAATACAAGCTCAAGACAACCAAATTAGATTTTTAAACAGGTCCAGCTTACCACAAATAACAGTTATAATGAAATGACATGCCTTTTAACACCTAAGTCCTACAGCTTTAAAAAAAAAAAAAAAACCACCCCTCCACAATTTAATGTTTCGTACCCACCAAACCATTAGAAAATATTTCATTCAGCTTCTTTAGTAGAGTTGTTCTTTTCATTACTCATAATCCATTCATTTAGAAAGGCATTGCCTTTCCCCGCACCCCCCCAATCTTACAATGTATCTTTCTTTGTTGAATCACCCCTAAGGCACAACAGAATCCTGGTGGAAGATCTTTCCGAAGTGGCTGGCAGGATTAAGAGCTAGGATGAGATCTGTCATTGTGGTTAACCCATAAAGGGAAAAAAAAAAAAAAGTAAACAACAATAAGAGCCTGTCTGCAGCTTTATCTCTGTTCTAGGCATGGTAAATGAAAGAATGTACCTCATGAGCAACCTCAACAGCTTGCTTTGACATCAAGGCAAAGAGAAACAACTCAGTAAATAAGGCCTTTGTTTACTGTCTTGTGTGCTACAAATAAGCATTGTCTTGTTCTGTTAATACATCTATTATGTCTCTAAAAAATACAAAGCTAAATTGGTGAAATAACAGTAACAGTAATAGAATTTGATTGTGTAATAATTATTCTTGATATTCTGTATTAATGATCGGCATCTTGGAGTCATGGAGCCATGCTAATGATGCAAGGTTTTTTACAAACACCTCCACCATCAGGCATTCGGAAATCTGTCACAAACCCTCCAATCACAAGCATCAGCTGTGTGTTCTGCTTCCCACTCCGTAGGAGACATCCGCACCTAGCTCTTCTCAGCACTATAACAAAGGTTTAGTCCCAGTTCTCTCTACTTCTCCCTGTAAGTGACGCCTTATGGCCCCATGTGGCACGTGGTGCCTACCATCCTCTGGGTAACTGTGAGTAATAAACTCCTCTTTCAAAGGTTGTTGTCTGCACGTCTGTCAAAACCTGATTAAAATAAATCTTAGGTTAAAATAAAGAGTCTAAGTATATTATTCAAAATTTTCCTTTCTGAATATTCTACGTCTTTGAATCCTTCAATTACTATCACTAGTTTTGGTGTTGTTAAAAGGTAAACTAAGGATCATGAAAATTTTGAAGAGTGTATTTGAGCAAACATCAAAGCAAATCAGGCAGCACCAAACTGAAAATGGCTAGGAGCACTCCACTGCAGGAGCTAAAGCAAAGGGTTTATAGAGCAGACCTGGCGCGGAAGTGAAGCAAGGAAATTGATTGACTATCGCTCAAGTGATGGCCTCATTTGAGAAAGCCTAATTGGCTCTTCCTGACTAGCTGTTCTTAAGTTTCACTTTCTTGACCTTGAGGTATTCACACGAATCAACTCTGGCTTAGGTTTTGGTTTGCTTATACAGGCTGCCAAGGCATTAGAGCCACCTCGCTCAAACGACCTCCTTGTTGAATCACTTTAACAGAACCAATGCTCTCTCTTGTGTATTTGTTTGCTAGTCATACTGGGGAGACGACAACAGAAAAACAAAACCCCTGCCCTCATGAAGTTTATACTCTAGGTGTTATAGTTGTAAGTGAAGTGAGGAAACTTATCGTTTATTTCATTTGATTCCCTCACTTTTCTTACATATACTAATATTCAATAATATTTGCTGAGTGAAAGAATGATCCATTTTCCTTTAAGCATCAGAAGCCATTTTCTTTATCTTTACAACTGAATAGTGGTTTACAGTTAAGTTTATCTCACTTGATGAAGACCATGAAGTATAGCATTGCTAAATGATATTTACATAATTCAAGCAGTTGGACTTTACTGAATAAATAGCTTTACTCACCAATCACCAGTTTATGAATGAGTAAGTGGGTCCTCACCAGACACTGAATCTACTGATGCCTTGATCATAACTTCCCAACCTCCAGAACTGTAAGAAATAAATTTATGTTGTTTATAAGCCACTGAGTCTACGGTATTTTTGTTATAGCAAAATGGGCTAAGACACTATGTAAGTGGAAATTGTCGACTAAGGCTCTTAAAAGTAATCAGTTGCTATCCCACTAGGAATTTAAACCAAGCCCTAGAAATTTGCTATAAATCTCTAGTCTACATCTCTTGCAACTAAGTAACTGGTTTATATTTTAAATATCTGTACCATCTTGTGAGGAATGATAGGAATTTGAATTTTTTCAAAGTGTCTCACTTTCTTACCCATATAGGCCTATTACCTATAATAAGATTACCTACTGAAGTAGATGCTACTGTTGCACACTCATTATTCATCTATCTAACCCCTTTTTCTGTCTTTTTAACATAATCCTAATTTTGTTCACCTTCCCCAGACTGTGTCTTTCAGGAGAGCCTGGGATATGAATCTCAATTGGCCGAGCCTATCTTGGAGGCCTCACCCCTTTGTTAGTGCTAGGCATGAACAGGTGAAACGATTTTAACTAATGAGATATGAGGGAAAATCTGCTGGGGGGAAAGGTTTTCCTTAGTCTTAAAAAGAGACCGAATATAAGGGTGTCCCCCTTTTCTTGCCTCTGGGTATTATCTGTAATCTGTAACTGAGACCATTTTAGGACCATAAGGAAAACCAGACTGGAGAACAAGCCAACACACTTAAAGACGGAGGAGCAAAAGGAGGGAAGGAACCTGGGTCCTTGACAATATTGTCAATTCATTGAATTAACCAACCCTGGCGATGGCCTGACCTCCATGCACCTAGCTATGTTAAGTAATAAAAAGGCTTAAACATTAAGGATATTTAGTAAGGTTTTCTACCACTGCAATTGAGAGCATTTCTTCTCTCTCTCAATAGCTCTTCTCCTAAATAGTAGACTTCTCAATATAACAAGGTGTGGTAGATTTTGAATGCAATGATAACTGCTTAAATTTCCTCCTATGTTCAAGCTGCTCTTCCTATTAAAAGGTAATCTATTTCAAGACGCTTCCCATGAGACTAGTCCTGCCAGCAGAATACAGAAGAAGTATTATGCATATATAAATATAATGCCAGTTCCAGACCTAGGTCTTAAGAGATCAAGCATCTTCCCTTCCTCCTTCACTGCTGGAAACCAGGATGACGTAAGAAAGCCTAGGCTAACTCCCGAATGATGGGCCACTACGTGGAGAGAAACTTTATGGAGGAGAATCAAGTAACTCCAGCCAAAAGGCAGCACCAAGACCACAACAATGTGAGTGACACCATCTTGGACCTTCCAGTCCCAATTAGGCCAAGAGGACAGACACATAAAGCATCTCTGCTAAGCCCTGTCTGAATTCCTGACCACAGAATTCTGAGCAATAAAACACCTGCTGTTTTTAGTCACTAACTATTGGAGGGCCTTGTTAGGCAGCAACAGCTGAAACACAAGGTTGTATTATTTGTTCTCTTGCTTTGTAAAATTACCATAGTCTGTGCACAACGATTAAGAATTATTTAGTGAGCCACTCTGAATGCTAGTGAATATTTTTTTCCAAATATGTGTTTTAATTGTCTTAGCTCACAAAGGAGAATGTGTTTCTATGCATGTATCATCTTGTACTAACATTTACAAAAAAATTAAATACTAATAAGAGGGGAAATATTTGTAACAAATGAGAGTCCATATCCTCAGCAAATAAAAACCTCTCTCAAATACAAAAGAAAAATAGTAACACCTCAATTTTAAAAATGGGAAAAGCCTGAGATTTATTAAGATGGCGGAAGAGTAAGACGAGGAGATCACCTTCCTCCCCACAGATACATCAGAAATACATCTACACGTGGAACAACTCCTACAGAACACCTACTGAACGCTGGAAGAAGCCCTTAGACCTCCCAAAAGGCAAGAAACTCCCCACGTACCTGGGTAAGGCAAAAGAAAACAGAAAAAACAGAGACAAAAGAACAGAGACGGGACCTGCACCAGTGAGAGGGAGCTGTGAAGGAGGAAAGGTATCCACACACTGCAAGCCCTTTCGCGGGCGTAGACTGCGGGTGGCGGAGCGGGGGAGCTTCGGCGCCGCAGATGAGAGCGCAGCAACGGGGGTGCAGAGGGCAAAGCGAAGAGATTCCCGCACGGAGGATCGTTGCCAACCGGCACTCACCAGCCCGAGAGGCTTGTCTGCTCACCCACCAGGGCGGGCGGGGCTGCGAGCTGAGGCTTGGGCTTCAGTCAGAGCGCAGGTAGAGGACTAGCGGCGTGAACACAGCCGGAAGGGGTTAGTGCACCATGGCTAGCCAGGAGGGAGTCCGGGGAAAAGTCTGGACCTGCCGAAGAGGCAAGAGACTTTTTCTTCCCTCTTTATTTCCTGGTGTGCGAGGAAAGGGGATTAAGAGCACTGGTTAAAGGAGCTCCAGAGACGGGCGCGAGCCGCGGCTAAAAGCGTGGACCCCAGAGACGGGCATGAGACGCTAAGGCTGTTGCTGCCGCCATCAAGAAGCCTGTGTGTGAGCACAGGTCACTGTCCACACCCCCTTCCGGGGAGCCTGTGCAGGTCGCCACTGCCAGGGTCCCGGGATCCAGGGACAAATTCCCCGGGACAATGCACGGTGGCCCTCAGGCTGGTGCAACGTCACGCCGGCCTCTGCCACCGCAGGCTCGCCCCGCATCGTGCCCCTCGCTCCCCACGTCCTGAGTGAGTCAGAGCCCCGGAATCAGCGGCTCCTTTAACCTCGTCCTGTCTGAGCGAAGAACAGACGCCCTCCGGCGACCTACACGCAGAGGCGGGGCCAAATCCAAAGCTGAGCCCCGGGAGCTGTGAGAACAAAGAAGAGAAAGGGAAATCCCACCCAGCAGCATCAGAAGCAGTTTTAAAGCTCCACAATCAACTTGATGGACCCTGCATCTGTGGAATACCTGAACAGAAAACGAATCATCCCAAATTGAGGAGGTGGACTTTGAGAGCAAGATTTATTATTTTTTCCCCTTTTCCTCTTTTTGTGAGTGTGTATGTGTATGCTTCTGTGTGAGATTTTGTTTGTATAGCTTTGCTTTCACCATTTGTCCTAGGGTTCTATCTGTCCGTTTTTTTTTACTTTTTAAAAAAATTTTTTGTAGTAATTTTTATTTTAATAACATTATTTTATTTTACCTTACTTTATTTTATCTTCTTTCTTTCTTTCTACTTTTTCTCCCTTTTATTCTGAGCCATGTGGATGAAAGGCTCTTGGTGCTGCAGCCAGGAGTCAGTGCTGTGCCTCTGAGGTGGGAGAGCCAACTTCAGGACACTGGTCCACAAGAGACCTCCCAGCTCCATGTAATATCAAACAGCGAAAATTTCCCTGAGATCTCCATCTCAGCACCAACACCCAGCTTCACTCAACGATCAGGAGGCTACAGTGATGGACACCCTATGCCAAACAACTAGCAAGACAGGAACACAACACCACCCATTAGCAGAGAGGCTGCCTAAAATCACAGTAAGTTCACAGACACCCCAAAACACACCACCAGACGTAGACCTGCCCACCAGAAAGACAAGATCCAGCCTCATCCACCAGAACACAGGCACTAGTCCCCTCCACCAGGAAGCCTACACAGCCCACTGAACCAACTTTAGCCACTGGGAAACAGACACCAAAAACAACAGGAACTACGACCTGCAGCCTGCAAAAGGGAGACCCCAAACACAGTAAGATAAGCAAAATGAGAAGACAGAAAAACACACAGCAGATGAAGGAGCAAGATAAAAACCCACCAGGCCTAACAAATGAAGAGGAAATAGGCAGTCTACCTGAAAAAGAATTCAGAATAATGATTGTAAAGATGATCCAAAATCTTGGAAATAGAATAGACAAAATGCAAGAAACATTTAACAAGGACCAAGAAGAACTAAAGATGAAACAAGCAACGATGAACAGCAAAATAAATGAAACTAAAAATACTCTAGAAGGGATCAATAGCAGAATAACTCATGCAGAAGAACGGATAAGTGACCTGGAAGATAAAGTAGTGGAAATAACTACTGCAGAGCAGAATAAAGAAAAACGAATGAAAAGAACTGAAGACAGTCTCAGAGACCTCTGGGACAACATTAAACACACCAACGTTCGAATTATAGGGGTTCCAGAAGAAGAAGAGAAAACGAAAGGGACTGAGAAAATATTTGAAGAGATTATAGTTGAAAACATCCCCAATATGGGAAAGGAAATAGTTAATCAAGTCCAGGAAGCACAGAGAGTCCCATACAAGATAAATCCAAGGAGAAACACGCCAAGATACAAATTAATCACACTGTCAAAAATTAAATACAAAGAAAACATATTAAAAGCAGCAAGAAAACAAAAAAACAACAAATAACACACAAGGGAATCCCCATAAGGTTAACAGCTGATCTTTCAGCAGAAACTCTGCAAGCCAGAAGGGACGGGCAGGACATATTTAAAGTGATGAAGGAGAAAAACCCACAACCAAGATTACTCTACCCAGCAAGTATCTCATTCAGATTTGATGGAGAAATTAAAACGTTTACAGACAAGCAAAAGCTGAGAGAGTTCAGCACCACCAAACCAGCTTTACAACAAAAGCTAAAGGATCTTACCCTAGGCAAGAAACACAAGAGAAGGAAAAGACCAACAATAACAAACCCAAAACAATTAAGAAAATGGGAATAGGAACATACATATCGATAATTACCTTAAATGTAAATGGATTAAATGCTCCCACCAAAAGACACAGATTGGCTGAATGGTTACAAAAACAAGACCCATATATATGCTGTCTACAAGAGACCCACTTCAGACCTAGAGACACATACAGACTGAAAATAAGGGGATGGAAAAAGATATTCCATGCAAATGGAAACCAAAAGAAAGCTGGAGTAGCAATTCTCACATCAGACAAAATAGACTTTAAAATAAAGACTATTACAAGAGACAAAGGAGCACACTACATAAGGATCAAGGGATCGATCCAAGAAGAAGATATAACAATTGTAATATTTATGCATCCAACATAGGAGCAACTCAATACATAAGGCAAATACTAACAGCCATAAAAGGGGAAATCGACAGTAACACATTCATAGTAGGGGACTTTAACACCCCACTTTCACCAATGGACAGATCATGCAAAATGAAAATAAATAAGGAAACACAACCTTTAAATGATACATTAAACAAGATGGACTTAATTGATATTTATAGGACATTCCATCCGAAAACAACAGAATATACATTTTTCTCAAGTGCTCATGGAACATTCTCCAGGACAGATCATATCTTGGGTCACAAATCAAGCCTTGGTAAATTTAAGAAAATTGAAATTTTATCAAGTATCTTTTCCGACCACAACCCTATGAGACTAGATATCAATTACAGGAAAAGATCTGTAAAAAATACAAACACATGGAGGCTAAACAATACACTACTTAATAACGAAGTGATCACTGAAGAAATCAAAAAGGAAATTAAAAAATACCTAGAAACAAATAACAATGGAGACACGACAACCCAAAACCTATGGAATGCAGCAAAAGCAGTTCTAAGAGGGAAGTTTATAGCAATAAAATCCTACCTTAAGAAACAGGAAACATCTCGAATAAACAACCTAACCTTGCACCTAAACAATTAGAAAAAGAAGAACAAAAAAACCCCAGAGGTAGCAGAAGGAAAGAAATCATAAAGATAAGATCAGAAATAAATGAAAAAGAAATGAAGGAAATAATAGCAAAGATCAATAAAACTAAAAGCTGGTTCTTTGAGAAGATAAACCAAATTGATAAACCATTAGCCAGACTCATCGAGAGAAAAAGGGAGAAGACTCAAATCAATAGAATTAGAAATGAAAAAGGAGAAGTAACAACTGACACTGCAGAAATACAAAAGATCATGAGAGATTACTACAAGCAACTCTATGCCAATAAAATGGACAACCTGGAAGAAATGGACAAATTCTTAGAAATGCACAACCTGCCAAGACTGAATCAGGAAGAAATAGAAAATATGAATAGACCAATCACAAGCACTGAAATTGAAACTGTGATTAAAAATCTTCCAACAAACAAAAGCCCAGGACCAGATGGCTTTACAGGCGAATTCTTTCAAACATTTAGAGAAAAGCTAACACCTATCCTCAAACTCTTCCAAAATATAGCAGAGGGAGGAACACTCCCAAACTCATTCTACGAGGCCACGATCACCCTGATATCAAAACCAGACAAGGATGTCACAAAGAAAGAAAACTACAGGCCAATATCACTGATGAACATAGATGCAAAAATCCTCAACAAAACAGTAGCAAACAGAATCCAACAGCACATTAAAAGGATCATACACCATGATCAAGTGGGGTTTATTCTAGGAATGCAAGGTTTCTTCAATATACGCAAATCAATCAATGTGATACACCATATTAACAAACTGAAGGAGAAAAACCATATGGTAATCTCAATAGATGCAGAGAAAGCTTTCGACAAAATTCAACACCCATTTACAATAAAAACCCTCCAGAAAGTAGGCATAGAGGGAACTTTCCTCAACATAATAAAGGCCATATATGACAAACCCACAGCCAACATCGTCCTCAATGGTGAAAAACTGAAAGCATTTCCACTAAGATCAGGAAGAAGACAAAGTTGCCCACTCTCACCACTCTTATTCAACATAGTTTTGGAAGTTTTAGCCACAGCAATCAGAGAAGAAAAGGAAATAAAAGGAATCCAAATCGGAAAAGAAGAAGTAAAGCTGTCACTGTTTGCAGATGACATGATACTATACATAGAGAATCCTAAAGATGCTACCAGGAAACTACTAGAGCTAATCAATGAATTTGGTAAAGTAGCAGGATACAAAATTAATGCACAGAAATCTCTGGCATTCCTATTCACTAATGATGAAAAATCTGAACGTGAAGTCAAGAAAACACTCCCATTTACCACTGCAACAAAAAGAATAAAATATCTAGGAATAAACCTACCTAAGGAGACAAAAGACCTGTATGCAGAAAATTATAAGACACTGATGAAAGAAATTAAAGATGATACAAACAGATGGAGAGATATACCATGTTCTTGCATTGGAAGAATCAACATTGTGAAAATGACTATACTACCCAAAGCAATCTACAGATTCAATGCAATCCCTATCAAACTACCACTGGCATTTTTCACAGAACTAGAACAAAAAATTTCACAACTTGCATGGAAACACCAAAGACCCCGAGTAGCCAAAGCAATCTTTAGAACAAAAAACGGAGCTGGAGGAATCAGGCTCCCTGACTTCAGACTATACTACAAAGCTACAATAATCAAGACAGTATGGTACTGGCACAAAAACAGAAAGATACATCAATGGAACAGGATAGAAAGCCCAGAGATAAACCCACGCACATATGGTCACCCTATCTTTGATAAAGGAGGCAGGAGTGTACAGTGGAGAAAGGACAGCCTCTTCAATAAGTGGTGCTGGGAAAACTGGACAGGTACATGTAAAAGTATGAGATTAGATCACTCCCTAACACCATACACAAAAATAAGCTCAAAATGGATTAAAGACCTAAATGTATGGCTAGAAACTATCAAACTCTTAGAGGAAAACATAGGCAGAACACTCTATGACATAAATCACAGCAAGTTCCTTTTTGACCCACCTCCTAGAGAAATGGAAGTGAAAGCAAAAATAAACAAATGGGACCTAATGAAACTTCAAAGCTCTTGCACAGCAAAGGAAACCATAAACAAGACCAAAAGACAACCCTCAGAATGGGAGAAAATATTTGCAAATGAAGCAACTGACAAAGGATTAATCTCCAAAATTTACAAGCAGCTCATGCAGCTCAATAACAAAAAAACAAACAACCCAATCCAAAAATGGGCAGAAGACCTAAATAGACATTCCTCCAAAGAAGATATACCAACTGCCAACAAACACATGAAAGAATGCTCAACATCATTAATCATTAGAGAAATGAAAATCAAAACTACAACAAGATATCATCTCACACCAGTCAGAATGGCCACCATCAAAAAATCTAGAAATAATAAATACTGGAGAGGGTGTGGAGAAAAGGGAACACTCTTGCACTGCTGGTGGGAATGTGAATTGGTACAGCCATTATGGAGAACAGTATGGAGGTTCCTTAAAAAACTACAAATAGAACTACCATATGACCCAGTAATCCCACTATTGGGCATATACCCTGAGAAAACCATAATTCAAAAAGAGTCATGTACCAAAATGTTCACTGCAGCTCTATTTACAATAGCCTGGAGATGGAAACAACCTAAGTGTCCATCATCGGATGAATGGATAAAGAAGATGTGGCACATATATACAATGGACTATTACTCAGCCATAAAAAGGAACGAAATTGAGCTATTTGTAACGAGGTGGATGGACCTAGAGTCTGTCATACAGAGTGAAGTAAGTGAGAAAGTGAAAGACAAATACCATATTCTAACACATATATATGGAATCTAAGAAAAAAAAGAGTCATGAAGAACCTAGGGGTAAGACAGGAATAAAGACACAGACCTACTAGAGAATGGACTTGATGATATGGGGAGGGGGAAGGGTAAGCTGTGATTAAGTGAGAGAGTGGCATGGACATATATACACTACCAAACGTAAAATAGCTAGTGGGAAGCAGCGCATAGCACAGGGAGATCAGCTCAGTGCTTTGTGACCACCTAGAGGGGTGGGATAGGGAGGGTGGGAGGGAGGGAGGCGCAAGAGGGAAGGGATATGGGAACATATGTATATGTATAACTGATTCACTTTGTTATAAAGCAGAAACTAACACACCATTGTAAAGCAATTATACTCCAATAAAGATGTAAAAAAAAAAAAGGGAAAAGCCATTTCCATTTAGAACCATAAATGGTCAGTAAACATGTGAGGAAAATATGAGGTGGGCTTCCCTGGTGGCACAGTGGTTGAGAGTCCGCCTGCTGATGCAGGGGACATGGGTTCATGCCCCGGTCCGGGAAGATCCCACATGCCGCGGAGCGGCTAGGCCCGTGAGCCACGGCCACTGAGCCTGCGCGTCCGGAGCCTGTGCTCTGCAACGGGAGAGGCCACAACAGTGAGAGGCCCACATACCACAAAAAAAAAAAAATGAGGCACCATTTTTTAATCTACTGAACAGCCAAAGAAAAATATAAACCATAAAACTTAAGCCAGCTAAGTTCCAGTGAAAAATGGAAAAGTCCTGCATTAGAGGTGCAATGTCTGGGGCCCCAGAGTGTCCTTGAACTACGGCGATTTCGGCGTCTCTTGTCACACGTTGTCTGACATTGGGCAGAGTCTATGGCTGTAAAATGAGCATAAATAGCTATCGCACAGAGCAGTTGGAAGGCTCAAACGATACGCAGAGGGAAAAGGAATATAAATGGTTGTTACTTTTTGTTCAGCGCGTTCATCCACGGGTTTACTTCTGTCGGCAGTACGGGAAATGCACAGGAATTACAGGAAAATGACACGACACAAATCAGGAGGAAGAAAGCCAGGGTAGGAGGTGGCCGAGGCGTGCAACAGTGCCCTAGGGGATGGCGACGTCCCCCTAAGATCCCCGCCTCTAGAGCATCCGAGCCCTGGCGTCGATACTCCACGGGGCCCGCAGCCACCCCGGGAAAGCGGTGGGAGGGCCGGAGTCACGCGCTGATTGGCTGACTGTGAGCACGGGGCGGGACGGACGGAGGTTCGGGGGTGGGGGGGGCGCGCGAGCGGAAGGCCGCGAGCGCGCACTTCCGGTCTTTGTGGCTCGCAGCTGCAGGTCCGGGGCTCGTACCCTGGCGGCTCCTGAGCTTCGCGGTGAGGGACACGGGGCCTGAGACGGAGCGGGGGCGGGGAGGGCGCGTGGCCGGGGCAGTGGGTGCTGGGTGGAGGAGCCCCGCTCCTCGGCCTGCCCATCTCCGGGTCTCGGCACCTTGTCCGGGCGGCGTCTCCGAGTGTCCTGGGGACGCAGAGGAGACCAGCACTGTCCCTGCTTTCCAGCGGAAAGGGCAGTTATTCCCCTACCGCCGTGATTTCGCAGATGCTGCGATTTAACCGGGATATAAAAATAGAAAGGCTAGTGCGGCAGGGCTGGTTAATAAACCACGGATTTGTAGGCTAAATATTCTGTTCTCTAAAGTTAACTGTAGTGTTAGTGTTCAGATGTACTGATCTGTCTTGCTAATTCAGGGGTACACCTTTCTATCAATAATCTCCCATCCAAAGATCAGATCATGATCGGTCTATATATTACAAAATTAAAACCAATTATTTGTTGCCATATTTCACTTTTTAAAATGTTTACTCCCCTATCTTCTAAGCTTTTTGAGAGTTGAGATTAACGTTTTTGCTTTTGTGTCTCTATAATATCTGACATTTGCGCACATGGTAAGCATTTAACAAATACTTCTTGGTTAATTTCTAGGTAGACTCATTTATTCACGAGCAAAAACCTTTGTATCTTAATACCTGGCTCGGGACAGAGCCCATAATAAGTGCCTCAATGTTGAAGAAGCGCATTAAATACTAAATTTAATCAAATGGCAAACGTCCAACAATGTTTTTATTTAAATCAACTCATGTTTAATATGGATTTTTAAAAATGTTTTATTACTACCTAAATGAAAAGCACCATTATGTGCCATAGGTTAAAGGTAACTAAAAATAAACGTTTAAAAATCAGCATATCAAATCCTAGCTAGATACTGTTACCCATGGAAGTCTGAGGCCTATAGTTTATTTAAAAGGGAATTCTGTAAGTAACATCTTCAGAAGGTGTTAAAGACAGACTATTCTGCTTGATACAAACAGGATTGAAAGAGAATTGAAAAGGAAATTTCTCAATATGTGATTCATGTTAATATTGCATTCTTTTGCCTCTAAAATAATTTCTCATAGCATAAATGTGGTAGGAATTCTACAAAATGAGAGACGTTGAATGAGGTGATTTTTAGTTTTGTCATTTGATTATTACTTAGTTACAGTCTCAAACCTGATCCCTTTCCATATATTACTCCGATGACTGATCTTTATTATTGTAAGTTCTTAGAGCGATGACTGATCTTTATTATTGTAAGCTCTTAGAGGTTTTTTTCATTGCTGTAAGTTAACAGTGCTTTTATATCCTTCAGGAAAGAAGAGATTACTCAAAAGCAACTGAAGTAGAGGACCCAGTTGTAGTGAGCTTTTTGCTAAGCTGTTTCAGCCCAGAACGGCTATGGAATCCAGAGCAGTTTCAACCCCAGTACCTCAGAATTCTCAGGAACAAGAGCTAATACTAGTGAAAGTAGAAGAAAGCCTTTCTTGGGGTCAGAAACTTAAGCAGAATGGGAGTACCCGATCCTGCCAGGAATTGTTTCGCCAGCAGTTCAGAAAGTTTTGCTACCAGGAGACACCTGGGCCCCGGGAGGCTCTGGGCCGACTCCAGGAGCTTTGCTGTCAGTGGCTGAGGCCAGAGTTGCATACGAAGGAGCAGATCCTGGAGCTGCTGGTGCTGGAGCAGTTCCTGAGCATCCTGCCTGAGGAGCTGCAGATCTGGGTTCAGCAACACAGTCCAAAAAGTGGCGAGGAAGCTGTGACCCTGTTGGAGGATTTGGAGAGGGAATTTGATGATCCAGGGCAGCAGGTGAGAACAGGGAGATGTGATATGTTTTGGGAAAAGGAATCTACTTCCTGGAGCATGTGGCGGCATCATAAGAATGGGGTGAGAATTTGTCTCTACTGAACCATAACCCTGAAGTGACTACCAGGGCCATACCTGTCTCTGTCCTTCAACAGTTCTTTTGTTGCTATCCGTCATCCCTGGAGATGTCTTCGGTGACCTCTTGGAGATTTTTACTAAGCATTTTCCCTAGGGATTTTCTCACAAAGAAATTTTCTCACAAATTTTACTGATTTCAGGTCCCAGCTAGTCCACAGGGACCAGCAGTGCCATGGACGGATTTGACATGTCTTGGAGCATCCCAGGGGTTAACAAACATCGAACTCCAGCCTTTAAAGACACAGCTGAAACCCTGGGAAGCTTGCCTTTCCCCCAGAAGCGGTAAGAAATAGAAACTCATCTGGGAACTGTTATCAGGCCTCTGGTCTTGAGGGTAGAGAATTAACAACATTTTACAGCATGCCCCATGTGAGCCTCACGTTTATTATTCTCGAGTGGAGGTGCTTACTCTTGAGCACCTTTGTATTCAGCAATCCTGATGAATTGCAGTCAGCCCTCCTTTTGTCAGTTTCCCCATCATTTATCCATTTATTCTTTCATTTCATGACTTAATAAGGTGCTAATACACGTCTGTATTGTGGTAGGCACTGGGTCTGTATCCTGAAAGAACTTTCAAGCCTAGATGGGGTGGTGGACAAGCAAAAAGGCAATTACAGTACAGTATAGGGTAGTAAATTACAGAACAATTAATGTACTATGGGGGCACATACAAAGGCACCCACCCTAACTCCACCTTAGAGGTCCAAGGAGTACTTCCTGGAGGGAGAGACATCTAAGCTAGGACTTGAACTCTGAGTAGAAGAAAGCCAGGTAATAGGTGGGAGGAGGAGATTCCCAAGCTAAAGGGAAAAACTGTTTCTCTGCTCACAACATTTCTGACACTGCATATGTGGGGTTTTCCCTCCCATCAAGCAATTCTGACACTAACTACCCAGAACCAGTGCAGACCCCACAGGTTAAGGTTTCAGTCCCAAGAGACTGCCTCCCACATCAGATGCCAGTTGCATGTAATGAGTCCCCAGATTATCCACACTTCTGTCCGATATGGCTGCAAATTGGTGCTTCCACAACCCCCTCCTCAGGTTTCATAATTTGCTATAATGGCTCACAGGACTCAGGGAAACACCTTACTTACCATTACCTGTTCATCATAAAGGACAGAAATGAACAGCCAGATGAAGAGGTCCATAGCACAAGGTCCAGAAGGGTCCTGAGCACAGGAGCTTCTGTCTCTCTGGAGTTTGGGGTTCACCACTCTCCTGGGTGCATTCACCATCCCTGAAGCTCTCTGAACCCCTTTGTTTAAGGTTTTTATGGAGGTTTTGTTAATTAAATCATTGGCCATTGGTGATTGATTAACTCAATCTCCAGCCCCTCTCCCTGGAGGTCACAGGATGGGTCCAAAAGTTCTAACACTCTAATCAACCAGCCGCCCTGCCCTCCAAGAGTCAACTCATTAGCATAACCTCCGGCACCTTCTCGTCTCTACCACAGAGGAAATTTTCAGGGGTTTTAAAATCTCTGTGCCAGGAACTGGGGATGAGGCCAAATCTATATTTCCCACATTACAGTATCACATGAGCAAAGTCCACAAAATCCTGAAGGTGAGAGATTACAGTCCATTCCGGGAATTGCAGGTAATTCAATTTAACTTGAAGAGAGAACTCCTAGGGGAGAGCTGGTTAGAGGGAAACTAGAGACGAAACTGGGACACAGGTTGTGAAAACGTGTCTGTCATCCTTATTCGTTTGTACAGTACAGTGGGGAACAGTTGAAGGGTTTTAGACGAGTGAGTGACATGATCAGATTTGTGTTTTAGGACTCAGTTGCAGAGCGGGAATGGATTTGAGGAAGGCAAGAGTAGAGTCTGGTTAGAGACAGTTGTAATCCAAGTGGCCACAGTGAATAAATCAAGATGTATTGTGGTCAGAGGTGGGAAAGATCACGGCTGACTCCTGTTCTTCTGCATTTAACTTGAATTGCAGTAGCTGGTCATTGTTAAACGTGGAGCATGTGGGAGAGGAGTTGAGGGTGATACTCAGGTTTCGGTCTTGAACAACTTGGTTAATGGCGGTGCTATTCATATAAGTGGGAAAACATAAGGGAAAAAAATACATATGATGATGCGTTTAGTTTGGGACATTTTGGTGCTTGTCAAATATTTACAAGTAATATGGCCAATTAGCATTGGATACGAGAGTCTAGAGCTTCATAGAACTGGGATAGAATTGGGGATCTGGGGAGATATTAGCTTATAACATAAGTAGTGATTGAAGCTTAGGACATAGAGAGTTGGTGGAGTGAGGATATATGAGAGCTCAGAACAGAACCCTGAGGAACTCGTGTTCGAGTGATTGACCTTGAATCTAAGAAGGAACAACCACAGAAATCAGGCTAATGTATTTGGAAGAGAATGGCTCTGGAAGGAAGATGTGGTCCCCAGTGTCAGTGCTACAGAGAGGCCAACTAAGTAAGATCCAGAAAGAAGCCATTGGATTTAGCAGCTATGAAGTTGATTTTGATGAGAGTAGTTTGGGGGGTGGGAGGTGCACAGGTATGGCAGAATGGGAACGAGTACCGACAACCGTTTGAAGAAGTTTATTCTCAGTGGGAGTGATGTTGCATGAGGGAGATGTGTAGGCAAGGAGCTTGATTTAAAAAAATGAGAGAGACTTGAATTTATTTAAATGCTGACGAACAGGAGTCAGCAGAGAAAGAGATTGAAAACAATAGGAAAGGAGTAGTGGGTAACTGATCAACTGAAGTCTCAGAGGAAGCAGGAAAGGATAAATTTCAAACTGTAGATATAGGCCTTAGTATTAGAAAGGAGGAGGGACCCTATTTTGACCAGTTAAAGAAAAGATACATGCAGATGGCTTTATGTTTGTAAGTAGAAGCATCTATTTTCTCTCACATAGAAAGAGAGTATTGAAAGTGGAGAAATAAAAAATTGTTTTTTTGCTGTTATCATTTCAGATTGTGAGAACAATGGATCAGCAACAAAGAAGGACATTTCAGGAGAGAAATCGCAAAGACTTCCCCAGGAGCCTTCATTTGGAGGAATTAGTGAACATGAAAGCAGTTCAGAGTGGCAGCAAGGAAGTGCTACAGGGGAGAAATTAAGAAGATCCCCTTCCCAAGGGGGCAGTTTTAGTCAAGTAATCTTCACACACAAATCTCTAGTAAACAAAGACCATCCTGAGCCCCAGAGAAGGTTGATTCTAAATACAAACTCTATAACGTATCAGAAAGTTCCTGCAGAAGAGAGACCTTACAGGTGTGATGTATGCGGGCACAGCTTCAAACAGCATTCTGCTCTAACACAACATCAGAGAATCCATACTGGAGAAAAGCCGTACAAATGTAGCCAGTGTGGGAAGGCCTTTAGTTTGAGGTCCTATCTTATTATTCATCAGAGAATTCATAGTGGTGAGAAAGCATATGAATGTAGTGAATGTGGGAAGGCCTTCAACCAGAGCTCAGCCCTCATTAGACATCGGAAAATCCATACTGGTGAGAAAGCTTGTAAATGTAATGAATGTGGCAAAGCATTCAGTCAAAGTTCATATCTCATTATCCATCAAAGAATTCACACTGGTGAGAAACCCTACGAGTGTAATGAGTGTGGGAAAACCTTTAGCCAAAGCTCAAAGCTTATTAGACACCAGCGAATTCATACAGGAGAAAGACCTTATGAATGTAATGAGTGTGGAAAAGCTTTCAGGCAGAGCTCAGAGCTGATAACCCATCAGAGAATACATAGTGGGGAGAAACCCTATGAATGTAGTGAGTGTGGAAAAGCCTTCAGTCTGAGCTCAAACCTCATCAGACACCAGAGAATTCACAGTGGAGAGGAACCTTATCAGTGTAATGAATGCGGCAAAACCTTCAAAAGGAGCTCAGCCCTTGTTCAACATCAGAGAATCCACTCTGGGGATGAGGCTTACATATGTAGTGAATGTGGGAAGGCTTTCAGGCACAGATCAGTCCTCATGCGCCATCAGAGAGTCCACACTGTAAAGTGACTTATGAATACAATGAATACTGTACATACTTCAGTCAGGCTTCTATCTTTGTTAGTCAAAAGGGTTTAATTTAATTTGGAGTAAGACTCCATGGAGGTGGTTGTACAGTACTAGGTCTCGAATCAATCTGACTTTATACAGCACTTGCCAGTGCTCATGCACATTGTCCCCTGAAAGCTTTTCCTGTGACTAATTAGAAGAGCAGACAGAAGAATCATTGCTTCCACCTTTCTCTTACCAGTAAGAATACTCAGGAACTGTGAAAGATGGGACTATAGCATTGAAACATCTTTTTCCATGAGAATGTCACAAAGGGCACAGCAACTCTGTCACTGCATCTAATTGTCAGTGGGCCAGATTTGGAGGGTGATGTGGAGAGTATGAGGGACGTTTTGTCTCAGGAATGCAAAAATTGTACTGACCAGTTAAGAACAGTGGCAGGGCAGCGAGATATGGGGAAACAGTTTCATCGATGACTTATTGAGCCCATGGCAGACCAGAAGTGAGATAGTGAAAAGGAAATACAAATTAAGTTATCCAACAGTTATTTTTTGAGTGGCTGCTTTGTGCCAGGCACTAGGGATACAGTGGAAAATAAGACCATACCTTCAGTTTCACGGACAACACAAACAGGCAGTGACACTATGGTACAATCAGTGCTGTGTGATGTTAAGGAGTACCTGGCCCAACCTTGGATCAGGGGAGGCTTCTGAGAAAAATTATCTGAAGGATGAGTGGCCAGGAAGGTAGGCCGGCCAGGAAGAAAGTCTGGCACATCTGAGGAAAGGAAAAGGCCATTTTGCCTGGAGTATTCCTTTATGAGTTCCTTTTGAAGTGGATTCCTGTCTGTAGGAAAAGCATGCATGTGGCCAGAATCTCTGTTTACTACAGTGCCTATAGTGAAACGTGAGCCAGTGGAGAAATTTGTAAATAGACAAAACCTGGAGTCCTTGGAGCATGGCGTGGTGAGGAGCTTTGTCTTGGTTTGTATGACCCCAGGGGAAGGGTTAAAACGTAGCTTCCTTGTCCAACCTGGAGGCTAGGCCTTCCATGTGGGTGAGGGCAGAGCCCAGTCTAGAAGTTAAGAGTCTTAAGAGTTCCAAATCTCACCCTCGCAGACATAAGGACTCCTTTGGTTCTTGAGACGTGACCAGAGCTTCTGTCGGCTTCCTCCTAACTCCCCAGGCTCCGGGTCGGAAGCCGCTACGGCTGCCGTATCATTGGTTTCTGGGTCTGTACTCCCACCGTTCCTAGTGCACACCCCTAGGCTCAGGCACTAAAAACTTCCTCCACTGCTGGGTCTGTTACTCTCCAGGCGCCTCACATGTGTTCAGTTTTGTCATATCAGCAGTATTTCAGTCTTGTGAACTTTGTTAAAGACCATGCTAAAGGGAAATAACAGTAATAGTCACGGTCCATCCAGAGAGACTGCCCTCTTCTGAGGGACCCAGCAGGAAAAGGATCCCTAGACTGGTGCTTCTCAGTGCAATGCAGAAAGGTGTATAGGTTAGTCAGCAACAGAAAGACATGTTATTTAAAATACCTAATAGGTCAGAGTTACAACACACCTTACCAAAAATTCAAGCCTTTGGGAATCTCGAGTCCTGCACATAGGAACTGAGTTTTCATGAGGATAAATAGAGAAGTAATGCTTCTGTTGGGGCATGAGCATGTACTAACCAGTAAGAATGGCAGGAGGACTAGATGCCCAAGCTTGGAGAGAATGTGAGAAAAGAAAGGGCTAGGTTAAATAACAAAATAGCGTGGTAAAGCTATTCAACTCATATTCCTCTTCCACAGAGGAAGATCCAATCAAACTGAAAAGGGCAGAACAAATGTTAAGTAGGAATTGATACAACATATATTACAAAAGGCAAATATTCTTTATATAGAGAGTTCTTACATATATCGGTAAGAAACAATAGGTACTTGCAAAGGGCTTTGTGTATATGTATTACTTCTCAGCCCATAGTTTGCAGATGAAGAAATGAAGGCTTGAGGTCATGGCTTACTCAAGGTCATGTAGCTACAAAGTGGTGAGCTCAGACTTTAGACCCAGGCAGTAGGAATCCAGAACGTGTCTGGGGAGCCACTACTCTGTACTATCTCCCCATGAAAAAGTCCCAATAGAGAAAAGTAGTACTTAGATAGGCAAATCACAAAAGAATAAATGCCAATGGACAGTAAATATTAGCCTTGCTAGAATTAAAAATGTATATTAAAGCAAGAGTTGAGATGGCGCTTTTTTTCCCTCATAAAACTAACAAAGATTCAGGGAAATTGGGGCTCTAATGCTGCTGGTGAGATGTGAGTAGATGCTGTCTGTGGCAATCAATACCAGAAGCCTTAAACATTGCCTTTTGACTTTAAAATTCTACCTGGAAATGTATGCTTCAGAAACCATCATGAATGTATACAAAGTCTTAAAAGCTGTTAAAAGTGATGTTGATTAATATTAAATAAGAAAGCGTTCATATCTTAAGTAAAAATATAAGACGATATGTACAATACGATTTGTGTAAAAATATATTTATGCATTAAAAATATTGGAAATATATATAATCTTAATGCTATACTGGTTATATCTGAGTAATAAGATTATAGGAGATTTAATTTTTTCTTGTGTTTGTGTCTTCCAATTTTTTCTACAATAAATACTTAAAATTTCTAAAGTTAGAGAAAAAAAGGTTTAAAAGGGACTGGAAGCCCAGGATAGCTGAGAAATTATCAAGAAAAGCATGTGCTTTCTATGGCATCTTTGTGCCTTCCAAGTCCTAGGCAGTTAGCTAACTCGTTAACTGATCTGTCACTTCCTAACTGGTAAGTGACAATGGCAGATATACTCATCTGACTAGTGTACAACAACAACAAAAAAAAAGTGCAAATTATAAATCTCTGTGCAAATATAAGTTATTTGCATGAAAGTGATTATAGTTGAGAAAAGCAATAGCCTTGAAGTGAAGACTTCTGTTCTCATTAGTGCTTCTCCGTGAATTCTGCAGCCATAAGCAAGTCACCTGACAACTCTGGACCCTCAGTTTAAGAGAGCTGAAGTAGGTGATCTCTTACAGTTAAAGCTTCAACAGTCTATATGAAACAGAGGGGGCACCAAGTAGGTGGATGTCAAAGGTAATTGTTTTTTCCTTCACCAGAGTTGCCTGAGGAAAAGTAATCCATCCCTTTCCTTTCTGCTCAGAGCCCTCATTTCTCTTGGCGTAGAGGCAGTCCACTGTTTACCTTAAATGGGTCCTGTGCAGATTCATGGATTTAAAAAGATGTGGAATTTAGGCAAAGTGCTTAATATCAGTTTCCTACCTCTCCACTCCTCCCTCCTCACTTCCACAGGCTGCAGTTAACACTGTCCAGATGAGAGGATTAGAAATTTAAGCAAGTCTGACCTTGGTCTCTCCAAGCCCCCCTGTGAACAACTTTGCTTCTTTTGCCCCGTAAAGTGAATCCTCAGAGCAAGGAGGATTGCCAATCATTTCCATGCAGAAGGAACTGACCTGAAGAGCATTTCTGCAAAGTCAAGAGGAAGGGTGAGCAGGGTAGGCAGACCTACTCCCTGCTCTCTGATGGCCCAAAACCAGATGTTGCTGCTCAGTAACTTTATCGTTCACAGCTCTCTTGTTGGCAGGCACAAATGATGATAGATCTAAAGGGTCATGGGGTGTTCCTGCACATGTGTGTCTATTAAGGACCTGCTGAGAGGGGAGGGGAAAGCTGTGGCATTCTCCCAGGCTCTTGCTCCCAAGGTGGGGAAGCGTCCTGATTCTTGTGGACGATGCTTCTGTTTGTAGAGGCTACTTGCTCTCATTCCCATGTTCTTTCAACCACAGTGCAGCTCCAGATGTCCCAATTTTGTGACTTCACCTGGTGAACTGCAGCCCCAGGGACTAGGTATCGTTTCCAGACATGTTTTGGCCCAGGAATCAAAGCTAAGACCACCAATTCCCTGCCTTCTTCCCACAACTCCTTCCCCCATTCTCCCAGCACATCTCCATTCGTGTTACGGTGCTCCCTATTACTGAATGATTAATTTCAAAGCAAAACTTAAAACTCAAATTTATTAGAAGACGTCTTGTATTACATTCTAATACTAAATAGTTAAAGTATAAACAATGAGGTCCTACTGTATAGCACAGGGAACTATATTCAATATCCTGAGATAAATCATAATGGAAAAGAATATTTAAAAAGAATGTATATATATATATATATATATATATATATATGTATAACTGAATCACTTTGCTGTACAGAAGAAATTAACGCCACATTGTAGATCAACTATACTTCAAAAAAAATTTTTTAATAAACAGTTGAAGTATATAACCAAAAGTATAAGTGTTAAAATCAGTTACTAAAAATGATTTACCAAACAAGATTTTCACCAAAAAAAGTACACATATATTAGGGCTGGGGGGTAAAAAAAATCTACTAGAAGTACTCCAAAATGTTAACAAAGTTTCTATGGATGGTGGGATCGTGGGTGATTTATACTTTCTCATTTTCTGTACTATCAACATTTACAATTAATTCACAATCAGTAAAAAAAACATTAAGTGGTATTAAAAACATGAAATCATTTGATTGTCACCCATAGGAAAAGGCAACTCTCTATCCATTTGAAGGATCTTTTAAGACTTCTGACTGGCCTCACTAATAATCCTACAACCTCTGGACACAAAAGCTGTCTCCCTAATTTCACCTCTCCTATTACCCACAACAGCTTTGATTATCACATCTTCTTCAGAAGTGACAGTATCAGGAAGGGAAATCAGGACATCTTAGAAGAGGACTCAAACTTCCTCTTAGGTATTAACTGCCCTCAGCAATTGTGAGTTAATTAAAACTGCCAAAATAAAAATTGGAGAAGTAGAGTTTTGAGGAATATTCAACAAATATTCATTGCCCTCATGTAGCTTAGCATCTGTGAGTCTGGTGATGAGAGGAGGGAACAGGGAATGAGGAAAGCAGACCTCCCATTCCCGTGTTCCTGTCAGCTTGCCATTTCCTGGGCCCCAGGGTCATGGGATACAAGCACTTCAGTCCCCACTGTCCCTCTAGCCTCCAACATGTATTCTTTCCTTGGTGTACAAACATGCCTTTTTCCATACAATGCAGCAAAGTCTTCCATCACTCTAATTCTCCTAAGTACTCCAAGAGAACTGGGATAGGCCACCCAACTCAGTGACTAAATAGGAAGAGAGGAACAAACACCTGTCCTGGCTTCTGAACCAGGGGCCCCCAAGAAAAAATTCCTGCCAGAGAGAAGAGTTCAGAGGAAGGGATGTCTCCAGATCCTCTGTTCATGCCATTGCATGTGCTATAACCTCTGCCTGTAACATTCTTCTCTTCCTTCTTGCCTTGGTCTGGCTAACTTCTACCCACCTTTTATGCCTCAACTGAGATTTCGTCACATCCAGGAAGTCTTTAGTGACTCATGGACCAGGCTAGGTACTCCCCTGCCATACATGCATTTCAACAGAACCATATATATATATATATATATATAT